GATCTGACGGACGCAGCCGCCCGGCACGCCGAGGCCCTGAGGGTGGCCAGGCAGGAGGCCAACGAGTACCGGCGCCAGCTGCAGGCCCTCACCTGCGACCTGGAGGCTCTGCGGGGCTCGGTAGGTGACAGYCATGGTGGCCTCAGGGAGCTGCCACCACCATGGGGGGCCCTGGTGGCACCACCAGCCAGTGCCAGGGGATGGCTGGTCCCCAAGGGCAGGAGGTGGACGGGCACTGGGGAGAGCCACCAGCTCCTGGGAGAAGGTGACCCTGGAGGGTGTCACAGCCATGGAGGGGTCACAGCCATGGAGGGTCACAGCCATGGATAGTGTCACAGCCCTGGAGGGTGTCACAGCCATGGAGGGGTCACAGCCATGGAGGGTGTCACAGCCCTGGAGGGTGTCACAGCCATGAAGGGGTCACAGCCATGGAGGGTGTCATAGCCATTGAGGGTGTCACAGCCATGGAGGGGGGCACAGCCATGGAGGGTGTCACTGCCATGGAGGGGTCACAGCCATGGAAGGGTCACAGCCATGGAGGGGGGCACAGCCATGGAGGGGTCACTGCCATAGAGGGGTCACAGCCATAGAGGGGTCACAGCCATGGAGGGTGTCACAGCCATGGAGGGGTCACAGCCATAGAGGGGTCACTGCCATGGAGGGTGTCACTGCCATGGAGGGGTCACAGCCATGGAGAGTGTCACAGCCATGGAGGGGTCACAGCCATAGAGGGTGTCACAGCCCCCTGTGGCCCCCCAGAACGAGTCCCTGGAGAGGCAGCTGCGGGAGCTGGAGGAGCGCTATGCCCTGGACGTGGCCGGCTACCAGGACACGGTGGCGCGGCTGGAGGAGGACACACACAGCCTCAAGGAGGAGATGGCCCGGCACCTGCAGGACTACCAGGACCTGCTCAAGGTCAAGCTGGCCCTCGACACCGAGATCGCCACGTACCGCAAGCTGCTGGAGGGCGAGGAGAGCAGGTGACGGCTCCGTCCTGCCCCTCACCCTGACTGTGCCCCAAACCAAGCCCAAGTCCTCGTRGTCCCTCTGGGGTGTCCAGCTGGGTTGGGGACCATCCTCCAGCCCTGCTGGCWCAGCCCCAGGGCAGCAGGACCTCATGAACATCCCAATGCTCCCGTTGCTTCTGCAGGATCACCATCCCTGTGCAGAGCTTCTCCAACCTGCAGATCCGAGGTGAGGCTGTGAGGAGGGACAGCGAGATGGTGGCACAAGCAGGGGTGGCTTCAGGGGGCTCTGTGGCAGGAGATGCCATCTTGACACCCCCAGAGGGATTGGGAGGTTTTCCTCTGAATCTCGAGGAGCCGGGACTCCAGGTTATCACAGGGTGGGGGAGGAGGGTGCCATGGCCACATGCCCCAGGCTGAAYGTGTCCCCAAGGCAAATGATGTCCCCAAGACCGATCACATCATCATATCATCAATAACAACTGCGTCCCCAAGGCCAACTCTGTTCCTCAGTGCCAACCGTGTCCCCAAAGACAACCCTGTCCCCAAGCCCAATCCCATCCCAAAGCCACCCAAGTCCCTATGGTTGAGAATATCTCCAAGGGCAGAAATGTCCCCAGCTGTCCCCGCAGCCTAACTGTGTCCCCAAGACTCATCAGATCCCACAGCCTGCCACATCCCCAAGGCCATCCTGTCCCTGAGGCTGGTTGTGTCCCCAGTGCTGCTGTCTCTCCTGGTTCAGGGGTTTCCAGCCAATTTATTTGAGTGTGGCTGGACAGGCCATACCCTGGGCAGGGTGTCACTGCYTTGTCCTGCCCGTGTCCCCCAGAGACCAGCCTGGCCACCAAATCCGTGTCAGAAGCCCACGTGAAGAGGAGCATCGTGGTCAAAACTGTGGAGACCCGAGATGGAGAGGTGGGAAATCCTCCTTTGTGTCACTCCMGCTCCATCCCCAGCTCCCCACAGGGTGTCCCCAAGGAACTCGCACGTGGGGCCACCATCCCTGAGCCCCTCGAGCAGCCCAGGCAAAGAGCCAGTGACCCCAGAGTCCTGAGAGCACAGTGTGATCTGGCTCTGGGTCATGGTGGAGCTGAGGATGGCAGCTCATAGCCAAACCGCCCTGTCCCCATSGCTGTCCTTGTCCCCATCCCTGTCCTTGTCCCCARGCTCTGGTGGCAGAGCCCGCTCCCGGGCTGACASTCCCTCTGCCTCCCCCTCCAGGTGCTGAAGGAGTCCAAGCAGGAGCACAAGGAGGTGCCGTAGGGCGGGGGAGCCGCAGGAGCYGCAGCCCCGGAGCTCCGCCGGTCCCGTCCTGCTCCCGGGAGGGACCGKGGCCGCTTCGGCGGGGGCACCTCCCTGCCGGGCACCCCTCGCCTCTCCCGTGTACCTGCCGTGTTTAGGGAGCCGCTGGCACCCCGTTGGGGGCTGGCGACCAGCAGAGCGCCCATCGGACCGGGCAGCACCCCGGCAGAGCCGCGATGCTCCCGCATTCCCGCAGCACGGGGTGCCGCTGGTTTGGGGGCTGCTCCCGCCGCATCCTGGGGCTCCAGGGAGAGAATCCGTCCTGTTTCAATCTCCGTGCACCGTCAGACAACACGATGGGACCAAGAGCATCTCCCTGCTCCACTCTCCAGTCTAGGAGACCACCCTGGATCTCCCCAGAGCACCCTTGGGTCGGGGAGGGGGATGCAGGGTGCAGGGTATCGGCTGGAGAGGGACATTTCCCTGTCACCAAGCATTGGATGAGCTCAGCTGGGAGGCAGGGACAGGAGGGAGCGGGGATGGACAGGCAGGGGCAGGAGGGAGCGGGGATGGACAGGCAGGGGTGAAGGAAGAGGATGATGGAGAAGCAGGGCAGGAGGATGCGGAGGATGGAGATGCAGGATGCTCAGGGTGACAAAATGGGAACCACGAGGTGTCCCAGGGGGTGCTGGGGTGTCTGGGGTGGGTTGTGGGGCTACACAGTGGCCTCAGAGGCTTCTCCTGGCCCACAGCCATGGGGCTGTCCTGACCCCATTGGATGTCTGCCACCAAGGTGTCCCCAACACTGGTGGCAAAAAACAGACCTGAGGGGCTCATGGTGAGGGTGACCCTTGGCCCTGTGCCTGGGGAGTCCCATGCAGGTGCAAATGGAGAGGACAGGGGTGCAGAGAAGGAGGAGGGGGAAGGTGTTGGGGCACCTGTGAGAGTCTCACAGCACCAGGTGCCATCGGCAACCCAGAAGTGAGGGGGAGCTTTGTCACTTGGGGTCACACTGGGAGCCAGGGGCTGCCCCATCACAGTCCCTGCCCCATACAGAGCCTGAGTCCACCCCCCCGTGGGCATTCAGGGTGGGAGTGGATGGAATCCCTTGTCCCTGGGCTGCACATGGCCCCTGTCTCCCACCTGCCCTCCCCCAGACCAGCACACACCCCCAGGCCACTGCCCAGCCCTGTCCCCGCTTCGCTGCAGCCACTGACCACCAACAGGACCTGCCTGATGCCACCTGGCACAGGAACAAGGACCCAGCAGTGCTTCCTGTGCCCTGCCAGCCTTTGGGGTGAGCCCTTGGTGCCATCCCCTTGTCCMCTCTGTCCCCTGGCCCTGGGTCAGGCGCTGAGCAGCTCCGCTCTGACTCCAGGAACACAACACCCMGTCCCAAAACTGCCAATCCCAGGGCAGGAGGGGTTCTGGGAGGTGCCCARGGTGGGAATGCAGGGGGATGGTGCCAGATTGGGACACCACGAGCAGCTCCCTCACTACTGAATTAATGAACTAACGCTGCCGCAGCTCGGGGTGAGAATAAARCTAATGAACACACTGAGCTTCCCTGTCGTGCCTGCATCCACCTCTCCCCACAGAGATTTGGGGATTTTGGGCAGTGGGGACCTCTGGGAGCCCAAACCAATCCTAATGGTGATGCCTTAGGTGATGCCTTCTACAAGTGAAGAGAGTAAAAGCAGACAGATTTAATCCAGGCCTGCTGGTACATTGAGGGCAGACAAAGCCTCCTCCTGAGGCTGCACCCAAAATGGACCCCGAGTCAYGAGATCTTCCCCTTTTATCAGTTCTGTCTCATGAACACATCGGGCCCCAATTCTCCAATGACACCTTCAGGTGATGATGGCACCCACCCCAAGCTCCCCCCAATTCTCTGTTGTTTCCATATTTTGGGGCTCTGAGGCAGCGAAGTGTCCTTGGATTTCAGGCTCAGAGAGGAATTGTTTTGTGTGAAGATGGGAGAGCAGCAGCTTTAGTGCTGTGCACTGGAGAAGTACAAGAATACAGATASATGRAAATASAGAAACTAAAAATCCTRAGRCATCAGTGGTGTGGGGGATGTGCTCAGGGCTGAGCCTCAAGGCGGGGACAGAGCTCCAGGAACCAACACCCCCGAGGGACTGACAGAGGGGAAGGGGTGCAGGGGGAACCCCCAGAGCTGGCAGAGGGGTGGGAGGGATCCCTTCCCAGGATGGCAATCAGGGATCTGCTCAGGGTTCTTCACCTCACACCCAGCTCCTTCCCCWCACAGTCCCAGGCTGCAGCTCCTCAGGCTCAGGGTGGATTTGAGATCCTGCRCATCACCGACACGGTTCAAGTGCCAGAGCATCGCTGGGACCCTCAGCGCCCTCCTGGACAGTGGGATTTCCCTGGGAATGCTGAAATCCTCAAGCCACTTCCTCAAATAAAGGAGATGAGCCTGGAAGGCACATCCTGCTCCCTGCTGAAACCCTGCAGAGATGCCACCACCTTTGGGGGATGTGCAAGATAACTTTGTCAGGCACAAACTTTGAATCTCAGCCTTGTGCTGAGTTGGGTGAGTTAAAAGCATCCCCAAAGCWGAGAGATTTCTGAAGAAAATCACCAGATTAATTTGAAAAATACTTTTTCCTTCAAAAGTAAAAGAAAATATTTAAACACAAATTTAAAGATATAGGTTTTTTTCCAGCTAAGGAGCTCAAAAACAACACTGAAGGGTTTGGGACACAAAGTTCTCAACAAGGAAAACAAGGCTAAAAAGGGTGAGAAAAGCAAGTATTAATTGGATCAAAATAGTTTGGTGGATGTTTTCAKCAGGCTCTTAGTAAAACAGCTCTAATAAATCACTGGTGCAGATAAAGAGCTCTGCAGAGCTTGGCCAGAACATCTTGCACCAGCTCCAAGTTTTCTTTTGAAAAGGATTTTATTGAGCTTTAACCCCCACTGCCAACCAGCGGCAGAGCCAGGAACAAATCCCGGCAGTGCGAGATCCCACCTGGAGCAAACGCTGGCACTGTCAAATCCTGCCTGTCCCTGCTGGGCTGTGCCAAATCAGGGAGGTTCCCACATCAGTCCTTGCTGCCCTGGGGGGAGAGAGAGCGGGGACTTGGCAGGGTTTGTGTGCGGAAATTTCCAGTGGGAGGATGGTCCGGGATATTCGAGTGCCCCATGGGGGGAATGTTCCAGCCTGGGCAGGATCCTGAGCACCTGCAGTGACCCACGTGGGCAAGGATGATGATGATGATGATGATGATGATGATGATGATGATGATGATGATGATGATGATGATGATGACGACAATGCCAAAGCCAATGTTTGCTCCCTGTGGACTCTGCCTGAATCCCCACATGGGTGAGGATGAAGATGTGGGGAGGAGGAGAAAGATGTGGATGAAGCTCGTGTTTGCTCCCCACAGACCCTGATGGATGCCCAGGTGGGTGAGGATGATGATGATGATGATGAAGATGAGGATGATGATGATGATGATGATGAGGAGGATGTTGATGAAGCCCAAGTTTGCTCCCTGTGGACCCTGCCTGGACCTTTTATACCCAAATGGGTGAGGATGATTATGATGATGATGATGATGATGATGATGATGATGATGATGATGATGATGATAATGAAGCCCATGTTTGCTCTGCACAGACCCTGCCTGGATGCCCACACGGGTGAGGATGATGATGGTGATGATAAAGGCCCTGCTCTGCAGCTCCCTGAACAAACCCCAGATGCTCTCCTTCTCCACCTGGCTCAGGAGAGCCACAGACCCTGCCTGGCCCCTCAGCTCAGCTCAGGTCACACCATGAACCCTCTGATGTGGGAAGGGTCTCTCAGCCCTGTCCCCTGTCACCACTCCCACCATCTCTGCCCCACTGYATTTCTGCCCAGCCTTCCCACCAAACCCCAGGGGTTTTGCCTTTCCCAAGTGATGGGGATACAGCAGGCTGCTCCCAGCCCTGCCATCCTCACCCTGAGCCTGGGCACCACTCAAGCACTGTGCCAGTTCCCACCAGAGCTGTGACTGCTGTGCCGGGGCTATTCTGGCATCAAAATCCTCTGTCCTGATATTGGGTAACTGCAGGATCTTCTTTTGTTGAAGTCTCCAGCCCTCAGCTGTCCTGAGGTGCACAAAGGCAGGAGGAATGGCACCACAGCAGAGTGCAGGGACACAGATTTTCCCCCCAAAGAGGTGCGAAAAAGCCCAACATTCCCAGGGCTGACCCTGGACGCTGCCAGCAGGTGCCTGGTGGTTTCTCCAGGGCAGGTGGGAGTGCGTGGTTCCAGTTTGCTGGGGTTTGGGCAAAAAAAGAACCTGACAAAGATGTCACCAATTACATCCCCTAAACCCCCKCAGTGACCATGAACAGAGGTGGAAAAGGGCAGGGACTGTCTGGGTTTGGGTTTCTCCTTCAGAACTACCACCCAATGTTTCTTTTCCCTCAGTTTTCTCCATATCCATGACTCCCTCCCACACTCATCACCCTTCCCAGAGACCACAGCACCACAGCTTGGGAGCATCAACTTTATTTGTGCAGAACTTGTGCTCTGGGTGATGCCGAAGTCAAACTTTGAGTTTTTTCTGAGCGTCTTTTACCCTGTTCCTGCTCAGCCCTGSTGTTCCTGCCCCTCAGCTGACCTGGTAACACTTCATCAGCTCCACCACTGTCCTCTCCTCTTTGATTTCCTTTTCCAAGTGGGTGTCCACGGGATGGGCTTCCCTCCCTGTCTCACAGCTGGCTGGGCTGCCAGGCTGGCCAGCAGCCTGACAATCACAGTTCTGCAGCTTCCTGAACAAATCCTGGTTGCTCTCCTTCTCCCCCTGGCTCAGCAGAGCCACGTTCAGCCCGAAGCGCTTGGTGCCCGCCAGGCTCTGGAGGATCTGGAGGACGGCAGCTCTGTCCCCAGGATGGATGTTCTCTGCCAGCACTGTCAGGAATTCCCCCAGGAGGCCAAAGCCCACGTCAGCCTGGAAGATCCTGCCCAAGGCCTCCCCTCCGAGCTCCAGCAAAAACCGGTATTTCTCTGTCCCGCTTTTCAAGCACCTGCGCCAGTCCCTGTGAAATTCCGCGGCGGTTCCAGGCAGCTGATCCAGTTCCTGAAGGAGAAAGGAGTCACTCAGCTCCTTTTGTCTTGTTCCCACTTTGATACCCTCACCCCAATCAGTCCATGGACAGCCAAGGTGTTTTTAACACAAGGAGCTGCTGAGGAGGGAAACAGGAAGATGAGGAAATGCCAGAGTGYCCAGAGAAAACAGGGAGGTGCAGGGGGAAATGGGAAGTGTGGATGAGATGTGACAYCCTGTGTGAACACAGATGGGCATGGAGTGACCCTGACCCCAAGCAGAGTCAGATCCTGTGCCCAGCCTGGATCYACCAGCACCACCTGGGAACTGAGCACTGAGAGGCAAATCCAGGGAGTGGCAGAGARAAGGTGAGCAATGCAAACCCTCCAAAATGTGCAGATGCCCTGTCTGGTACCACCCAGCAGAGACTGAGAGCTGAGCTCCAAGTGGCATTCCCAGATGAAGACAATCCCATTTTATACCAGCTGTAATTAACTGTTGAGCTCATCCCCACTGGGTCACCAGGCTGAAGRAGGCAAATGTTCAGCTTTTCTGSAGTCAGGGAACAAGGCAGAGGGACATCAGCTGGGGCTGAGCACAGGGGGAAATGCCCTGGAGAGCTGAGCCTGGCGCTGACAGGACTGGGAGCAGGATTTGCTCAGTTCAGGGAAACACAACGCTGCCCACAAGAGCTGCAAAAGATCTTACACAGGTCAGTGAAATCCAGGAYCATGAACAATCCATGGGATTGTTTATAAGGCAATCCATGAAATTGCCTTATAGTGGGAAACATCCATGGGAAACATCCCTGGCTCCACATCCAGTGACCAGGACACTCCAGTGTGGACAGAGCYCATGGCAGGGGCAGGACTGAGGTGACTCCAGTCCCAAAAGACCTGGACAGAAAACATCCCAACCCTATTTCCTACCACTCAGTGAGCTCCTCAAGCAGCAGGATCAACCCAAACCAGCCCTTTGCCATGATTGTGAATGGGTGAAGGACTGGCTGCACTCAGGGAATCCCTGCAGCTGGAGGATCTCCCAGGCTGCAGCTGTGGGAGCTGGGAGCTGCTCCCAGCCAGGAGGGACTGCTCCCACAGTCTGCTCCTGGMCACCACGGGAGGCTCTGGGAACTCTGGCTCCAGGTCCCATTCCCACAGGGATGGAGCAGACTCTTCCCAAAGGGGCCCAGACTGACCCCGTGCTGATCCAAACCCCAATATTCCTGGGGAGGGCTGGCTCACACCCAGAGGGAATCCTGAGTAATCTCACATTCCAATTAACACACAGGAGATTTTTGACTAATTTCCAGCGGTGGACAAGGCCCTGGCAGGCTCTCCTTCACCCGTGGGATCTCCCTCACCTGTGGGATCTCCACAGTGTGGGCAGGTGATGCCTCAGCCGGGGCTGCACAGGGATTCCACAGCACATTCCTCCTCTGTCCCAGCCTGTCCTTCTTGTCCAGAGGCTTCAGGTGTGAKGCCAGCACAATTTCCCTGCAGGGAAAGGGGATGGGAGGGACATGTGGCAAGAGAATACACTTTGAGGCTTCAAGCTGCTTCTCTGAGGCAATTCTTGACTTTGGGCCATATGGATCATCCAGATCACCTCCAGCTGGACAGGCTGGAGGAGCAGACCCTTACCAATACAAGGATAAAYCAGTTTTAAACCCCTCAGGAATCCCGTTACAGAGACTGGCAAGAGAAGCAACTTGAAAACATTTTCCTGGCTCTCGGGGATCAGGTGGCACAGGTGGATGAGGCAGGCATGAATCCCTGAATGGAATTTGAGCTGGTCCCAAAAAGTCTCCCAGGTGTGGTCAGAGTCCTGGATCTACCTGTGGATCCCGGATGTCAATGGACAGGGAGCTCATAGGGGATCTATAGGGGATCCAGGGGTTGGGTGGGTGTTTGGAGTCCCAGATGGATCTACAGGGGATCCAGGACATGCATTTGGAGTCCCAGATGGATCTATGGGGGATCCAGGGCTTTGGTAGACATTGGGAGTCCCCAGACAGGAGGGACAGTGACAAGACTGGGAGCAGGAACAGGCTGGGAAAGGCACAGGGGACACATCACCCACCCTCTGCTTCTGCACCCCCAGCATGGCCTGGGATGTGTAGGCAGAGACGGGGGGCTGGAGGTGGGAATGAAAGAGGCATCCTGGAGAAGGGACAGTGTCCTGGAGTGGGGACAGTACCACCTCACTGCTGGCCACGACTGGGCCTCCACAGGGTCCGGCCACAGAGCGGGGACAGATCTCAGCCCACATGGGGCCACCTGAGGAGTTTGGGACAAATCTCCACCTGCGGTCACTGGGATCGGAGCTACGGGCATCCCGAGGCTGCTGATCCCATTCCCGATCYCATTCCTGMTCCCATCAGCTCCAAGCAGCTCCGAGCTCACACCCCGAGGGTTCCCAGAGCCCCCAGACGCGCTCCCGGCTCCCCCCGAGCCCGGGCGGACCCGCCGGAGCCCTGGGGCCGCTCGCCGAGCCCCGGACCTGAACTGGCCGTAGTCGGGGACGCCCTGGCGCAGCGCCCGCAGCTTGGCCTCTCCCTCCCGCTGCCGCCGCTCGTCCTCGGCCAGCGCCGCCCGCAGCTCCCGCTCCAGCGCAGGGAGCGCTCCGGCCGGATCCATGRGACGTGGGGACAGGGACAACACCTCCTGTCGCGACAGCCCTGCCGGGGRTGGCTTCGAGCACCCCGCTTCTGCCACAACAGCGCTGCCAGGAGTGTCCCGACAACCCCGCTCTTATCGTGACAGTCCTGCCTAGCGGGCTCCACTCCCAATGTGACAGCCGTAAAGGCAACGCAAGCGGATGGCAACTGGGAACCTCTCCCCTATCGCGACAGCCTCGCCAGGCGCTGACACACCGCCGGCCCCGGGGCCCCTAGCTCTGTCGCGACAGTCCCGCTGGGTGCCGAGCACCGCCGCCCTCAGAGCCGGTCMCTATCGCGACAGYCCCGCTGGGTGCYGARCACCTCCGCCCTCAGRGCCGGTCMCTATCGCGACAGTCCCGCTGGGTGCCGAACACCTCCGCCCTCAGGGCCCGGCGCTATCGCGACAGCCCCGACCCCGCCCCCAGAGCGCCGCGGCCGCGCGAGGTCCCCGGGGCTGCCCCGGCCGCGCCTGACAGAACCGGCCCCGCCGCCCTGCCTGCCCCGCCGGGCCCGCGGCTCCCGGGACGCTCCGGAACCGCACCCGACTCGGTTCCGGCTCCACCCGGYGCTTCTCCCGTGGGCACGGCGCTGGCGGCGGGCGCGGGACGCTCTGTCGCGACAGGCGGCG